CTTCAGCCCAGATTTTCAATTTTATTTTTTAGAAAGTCAAATGGAGCAAGGCTATGTGCATTAGCTTTTCTGGTGGGAGGGGCAGGACAATGAGGATCAAGAATGCAGGTGTCACATACACGTTTCTGCAGCCAGATGCCAATCCAGACTCTTCTTATTTGTGAGTATGTCTCCATAGGATAGGATGTCTAGTGTGGCCTAGTCTCTGATTCCAATATTACCACAAGATTAGGAAGCCAATCTTCCTAATCTTTTCAGTAAAATAACTGAAAAATGTCATCCATCCAAGTCCATACTTCTAAAGCAATGACTAAACTCACATTAGGCATGCATCCATCTATTTTCTTTTGAGACAGAGTCTCGCTCTGTCGCCCAGGCTGGAGTGCAGTGGTGTGATCTTGGCTCACTGCAACCTTGCCTCCCAGGTTCAACTAATTCTCCTGCCTCAGCCTTCCAAGTAACTGGGACTACAGACACATGCTGCCACACCCGGCTAGTTTTTGTGTTTTAGCAGAGATGGGGTTTCACCGTGTTGTCCAGGCTGGTCTTGAATTCCTGAGCTCAGGCAATCCACCCGCCTCAGCCTCCCAAACTGCTGGGATTACAGCAGTAATCTGAGCCACCACGCCCAGCCCATCTTTTTATCCTTGAGGACTCCGTTTCTTGTTGCTCAATGTTAGTTTCATTCAGTGAAAAACAACACTTGTTGAAGATTTACTATATTAAAGGTTTTCTATTGGGGTGGGAGCAGGAGGTAGGGTCTTTATTACTAATTATAAAGCAGAGAATCAAAAGTCAAGCATTTCCTGCAGAAATTTCCAAGTTTGTGTGATACATGGCCACCTACTCTAGTAGCCATTACAGAAGGCAGATTGTCAAGTGTTATAACAGACAGCAAAGGGCTGTGACTCCACCATTTTCTCGATGCGTGACCTTAGCAAAATTACCTACTTGAGCTTCATCTGAAAGGTAGCATTAATGATAAAGATAACAATAACATTAATGACATGGTTTTGAGAATCAAATGAGCAAAAGATACATGACATACATGGCATATGGTAAGCTCTCCATATGTGTTACTATTATAATATTGTTTATGAGAGAATTAAATTAGGGAAGACTTCTTATAGGAAACGATCTTTAAATTAAGCCAAAAACTGCTGCTAGGTGTTTTATGGGAAAGACATGAGAAGTTTCCAAGCAAAAAGACCACCTATGATCAAAGACCCAGAGGTGGAAAGAAGATAATTCGTTGGGTGGACAGTGGCTACCTGCAGTCTCTATCACACCTTCCTTCACTTGCTCTGAAGAAGTCAAATATCTATTTCTTTCAGACCAGAGCTTGACAGGCACTTGCCTAAGATTTTAGAATAGCATAGATTGTGGCCTCCAAATCCACATGCATTTTCTCCTCTTTCATTATAACTGGGATTTGAATCCTGAAACTCAAAGGAATGAGGATATGTGTCTGGATATGTGTCTGAAAGTGGGGAAACTGTTCCACACTTTCAGAGTGGCATAGCCTTAGCTCTGACGGCCTATTTAGACAGCAAACTGAAGAGCGTGTAGGCTCTGGCTTCTCCAGCCCTTGGAGATGGTCACACTGAAGAGGCCCATTAGTGATTAATTTCAGTCAAAAAAATTCTTATGTAGCTCTGCAAGACCAAGTGCGGCAGGGTATGTTTCTTTCCCTGTCTTCGTCTTATTTTCTTTATTTCCTCATTCTTAGAAGAAAGCTAGGAGGTAGAGACTCATAGTAATGCATCCAAATCATATTAAACAATTAAACAAAGGATCAGCATCACCATGAGAAAGCGCTTGTGGATGCTCCATTCTGAGGACAGTGAAAACTTTACATCTCTCCTTAAAAATGGCAGGAGACACTTATGGGTGGCTTTTTTTTTTTTTTTTTGAGGAAGAAAGAGAGAAAGAAAGAAAAAGAATAAAAAAAAAAGAAAAAGAAAAAAAAAAGAATAAAGGAAAGGAAGAAAGAGGAAGAGGAAGAGGGAGAGAGAACAGGGGTGTTGCTTTATTGCCCGGGCTAGAATGCAGTCTAAAAATGGGTATACCTGTAACTGTGTTTAATAATAGAGATATAAAAAAAAAATGAGGGAAGAAAATAATTAACAAGCCCCCAACCAATATTTCATTTAAACCTGTAAATACATGTGATGTAGTACTGATAAGAGTATATATTTTATGTATTTAAAGTGGAGAGTTCTATGAATGTTAATTAAGTCTACTTGTTCTGGATCTGAGTTCAAGTCCTGAATATCGATGTTAACTTTCTGTCTCACTGATCTGTAAGTCTCCCGCTATTATTGTGTGGGAGTCCAAGTCTCTTTATAAGTCTTATATATCTGGGTATTTCTGTATTGGGTGCATATATATTTAGGATCTTTAGCGCTTCTTGTTACATTGATCCTTTTATCTTTATGTAATATCCTTCTTTGCTTCTTTTGATCTTTGTTGCTTTGAAATCTATTTTATCAGCAAAAATTACAACTCCTGCTTTCTATTTATTTATTTTTGCTCTCCATTTGGTTGGTAAATTTTTCTCCATCCCTTTGTTTTGAGTCTTTGTGTATCCTTGCATGTGAGATGGATCTGGATGTACCATACCAATGGGTCTTGGCTTTTTTTTGCCTGTCTGTGTCTTTGAATTGGGGGATTTAGTCGATTTAAATTTAGAATTAATAACAATATATGTGAGTTTGATGCTGTCATTTAATGTTAGCTGGCTGTTTTGCCCATTAGTTGATGCAATTTCTTAATTATGTTGATGTTCTTTATTTTTTGGCATTTTTTAGAAAGGCTGATACTGGTTGTTCCTTTCTATTTGTAGTGGTTCTTTCAGAAGCCCTTGTAAAGCAGGCCTGGTGGTGATGAAATCTCTGAGTGCTTGCTTGTTCACAAAAGATTTTATTTTTCCTTCGCTTATGAAGCTTAGTTGGTGGCATATCTAGTGGACCCAAGAACCCAGGCTGAGGACAAAGAGCTAGAGGGTAGGAATGAAATTGAGAAAGAGAAGGGATATAAGAGTTCTCGGATACTCATATAAGGTAGATCGTGTGTGGGATGAAGGGCAAATTGATGGCATAGTGGAGCAATGATTTTTCCCACCTCCTGAAGCCTGGGATTATTTATCTACGTCCCAGTGTGGACTCTACCAGGTGTTCCATCAGCATCGTCAACAAAACTCTGGGGTTAATTTGGGGAGTGGGTGCTGAAATTCTATGAGACTGCTGCTATGGCACAGTGTTCAACCTTTTCGTAGGCACAAAAACATTCTTGAGTGAAAGGGAGAAATGGCAGCTTCTTATTTCCAGGAACCAGTTCTGCCCTAAGAGTCAGTGCTGGTAAACCAGTTCACAACCAAATCTAAGGCACTGGGGTCAGCTTGGTGCTCCCTGTGGCTGATACTATTGTTGGTTTCATTTGTTGAACATCACCCGGTATTTATTTCAAAAATTATATTTAAAAGATTTGTTATTTGTAAACAGGACCCCCAGAACTCAGAGTATTGAGGTTTGATATCCATCACTAAGGCACAGTGGGTCTGTTCCAGTTAAACCCCCAATACTTAGGTTGCTTGTTTTTCTACAGGGTTGGGTTTCAGTCTCTTCTCTCCGAACACTTGTTACAATTTATAACGTGTTTATTTATTGCCAGTCTTCTCCAGGCTGTGAGTTTCTTGGGGGCTGATCTTGTGTGTCTGGCCTGTTGCTTTATGCGAATGGTCCAGTACTTGTTGAATGAATAAATGAATTTCGAAGGTACTTCTGTTTGTGCGCCTCCAGCATTTGTAAGGTTGATGGTTTGTGTTCAGGAACAACGTCTCACTGTGTGTTTGTGTTGATGCTTCTCGTCCCACTGGGCATGGCTGCCTTTTTCTTTCTCCCCACCGCCTGATTCTCCATCCTCTCATAGAGGGTTTTACTGTTCTTCTCTATAGCTTGCTACGTGGGTAGACATGTTGTTGGAGAGTTACAGGTTGGTAATGTTCACACCTGTTCTACCTCTTTAGTAGGATGTACAGAGTGACTTGTTTGTTTAGCAAAGAGGGAGAGAAGGGTTTCGAGCTGCTAAAGTGGGGCAGGAGTAGAGGGGATGGTCACTTTTGGTTCTTCAATAAGTCTTAAGTGCTGCAAAGTTCATCAGCTGTAGTTCCATGGCCTTAGTGTTGCTCAAATTGGACAATTTATGTAGCATTTGCCAGCAAAAGAAACACCACCCTGGTCTCTCCTGGATGACTTGTAAATTCCCTTTGTGGAATTCAGTTGTGACTCAGTGAATGTGCCCAAGACTTAACTAATATTTTTCCTGGCCCTATATATACGAGCATACATTAGCCATCTGTTGTTTGAAACCTAAAGTATCTCTCCTATATGACACCTGAGATACGCTGGGTCTTCTCACAAGTCTGAATAAAAGTAGAATGGCACCTAGGTGGTCCCAGTAACCAGACCAATGGGGGAGCAGGGATCTTAGGCCCAGGTCTTCCTACTGCAAAGCTTTTTTTTTTTTTAATGAATGGATACATTATGGTGCCTGCTTGGAGGTTGTACTTGTAGTTATGGCTATGTAAATATTTGTGTATCAATTGTGCCTGTAGGGGGCGGGGGGCGGGCACTGTCCCAGTGATGTGTTGGTGGCCTGACCGTGTTTTCTTCTCTGTGATGTGATGCCACTTGTCATTTACAATTAAAGCTATCACTTCACAACTGACAAAGTCATTCTGACCAGCAAGAGATGATTGGAAGGAGTGATCTTCCCTACAGAACACCAAGCTGGCACTGAGCTGTTTGCCATCACTGTTTTCATTGTCTTCCTGTGGTTATGTTCATTATTAATAATGATGATCATGATCATTAAGCCTAGGAAGAAAATAATGATAAAATGGCTCTAATTACGCATTATAAATGCAACATGTTCTTATCATTATGTTGTATAGTATAAATGATAATCATTATAATCACGATAACAATATGAACTTCTGCTTGAGTTTATCTTCTATATGATCAAAGCATTCGAAGACATGATGTTGTTAGCCTTCATGACATTCTGTCAGAAGGAGAGCAAGTTTCAAATGACAGCCCTGTGTGCTGGAGTAAATATGGGCTGGAGGGGGTGTTGTAAATAACTCCGGAAACCCAAAACAAAATGCGGCAAAATGAGCAGTGAGTAGACACACAGCAGGAAGATGTGTCTGACATAGCATAAAGTTTGAAATGAAAAGTGTTTCTGAAAGTTCAGTTCTCTTATTTTCACTGTGCATTTTGTCTCTGTCATTTCCCAGTTGTGTGACCTTGAGAAATTTACTTTGCCTCTCTGAGCACGGTGATTAATATTGCTTTATTTTCCTGTTGGAATTAGACGCGGTACCTATGTTCTGTTCCTCCCCCCACTTTCAGTTTAATGAAATGACTCAGTGCAGCCTGAAATAGGGTCCCAGCCTGGGAACTTTTGGGAGGAACTAAGTGAGTATTCACCCCAGCACCTGTCACAGAGCTTGGCACATGGTTGGTTTGTGCTTGATGAATGTCAACTGAATGACTGCAGATATAAAAACGTTGCTTTATTTAACTTATAGCCAGGGGGAATTTTAAGGAGATTAATTAATTTCTGGTACATAAATAAGCTGCTGAGATTCCTGAAGTCAGAGCTGATCTGCCCTTTACCCCAATCAACCGCCACCTCTGGGCTCTGACTCCTCTACTTCTCTCTGGGCAAGGACCAGGGAGCCCAACCCCACTGGGCAAGGACCCAGGGAGGCAGCCTGTGAGAGCAAAGGACGCCTCTGGGCTGTAGACACACCAGTGAAGTTGGTCCATTAATGCCTTCCCCACAACTGAGAGCCTGATGGGCTGTGCCTCTGCCCATGTCCCCTCCACTGTGACTGCAGCTCTTCCTTTAGGGACTTTCTGTTTCCTTCAAGGCCATCTTTGAACCTACGCTCACTCCCTAACTTGACTCGTCCCAGGGACAAATGTCATACAGTGTGACTTGGACCTGAGCTTTTAGGATCTCCTGTTTGAGGAATCCTGAAATTGGCTGAAAATGGGACGGTCTCTTCAGTATTCCAACATCCCCCTGTTCTGAATGTTTCACACTCTAATTTGCATCTAGGAGGCATTTGCTGACAAAAAGGAAGCTCAGTTTTGTCTCAATTATTAGAAAGTCCTCATTAATTAATGAATTCTTAGCTGTCTTTTAAAATACTAATCCTGAAGTCTCAGCACACTGCTATCTGGCTATTAGTGCCCTGCCTCAGTGACTCTTATCAAGGCGACTAGCCACTTCCTAGTATTGTCACATCCAAGGGACACTTCCAGACATGGCTATAAGTCCTATGCAGTTGTCCATGCTCTTGCTTTCCCTTTCAGCAGTGATCTCAGAGGCCACATATTTGAGGTAGAAGCAGCTGGGTCCTCTTGGAGGGGAGGCACCAAGGAGAGCTGACTACCACATAAGGTTTTACCTTGAGCGAGAAATAAATCTCCATTATGTTAGGCTACTGAGATTTGGGCTTGCTTGTTATAGCAGCTAGTGTGTTACCCTGACTATTATGGATACTAGTAGAAATTCCTGAAAGGTGGGATGTTAATGAAATGGCAATTCAAGGGAGGGAAACATGACACACATGGTGGGTCCATACTACTTGGCTCCTCCGTTATTCCCTTTGATAGTAACCCCAAACATCTGCCTAGAGGTTCACAGCTTGCGTTGACATCGTGTACAACCCCCACAGATGAAGATGGAGGAGAATGATGTCTCAGGAGGACCTGAGTCAGGCACAGCACACTCTCACCATTTTTTCTGCTTGCCTCTATCTCACCTATGCGCTCACACTTCAGCCTGTCTGTAAAGTATGCGACCATCAGTCATGTTCCTGACTTTGCCTATGGGACTGGGCAGAGGTATGGCGGCTGGGACCTGCAGAGTGGTTGTGTGAGATGACTGTAATTCCAGGCTAACGAACGCTCTGCAGGCGCCTTTGCTGGTTGCCAGCTCTCAGCTTTGTGTTCTGGAAACATCTTGAACAAAATGTCACGGAGAGCATCTCGGCAGTGTCCTGCTGACTGAAGACCTGGGACTGTCGAGGCTGCCATCTGCCTGCAGCCTCTCGGAAGTAATTATATCAGAGTCTCTCAAGGCCTGGAACAAGGGGGATGTCAAATGTACTTTCCTATCTCTAGGAAGGTAATTTTCATTTTCTCAGCGCATTTGGAGCTGCATATCCTTGTGGTCTCCAGGTGTGAGAGAGGTGCAGGGAGAGAAGGGAAGGTATCTGTGGAGAGACAAGAAAGGGGACACAGTGGGAGGGGAGGGCCAGGGTGGGATGGGAGGTGGGGGGAGAACGAGGGAGGGGTTCACTGCTACTGAACCCAGAGAGGGACAGATATGCTATTTTTGGCAACTTTTAATTAAATGACAGGCTGGAAAAATTCCATTCTTATTACTGCTCAGCTTTCTGACTGTAGTGGCTTAATGTCTTCTGTATTAGCGTAATAGTCTGAAAGCATTTTCCTTCTTGTTCTATTGCTAATTTGCATTAGGAAAGGAAATGTGTCTGATAGGTCTTTGAGAGAAAATATTTCCAAAATTTGCTGAAGACAGAGTTTTTACACTTTCTCCCTCTGCCTCTCCTCCTATTGTTTCTTGTTTGGGTGGGAGGAAAGGTGGGTGTCGTTCTGAAATGAAGGATGATTGAGATTCTCATCTGGCAAGAGAAACACAAAGCAAGTCCTCACAAGACACATTTTTTAAAAATGTGGGATTACTTTAAGTAATCTTTCCTAGGATCTGGGTTTTATGGGCTCCTCTGATTTGGGGCAGCATTCAGGGGTCCTCAGGGAGAAGGAGGGGGTAACAACATCCTTTTCTTACTTATGATTTTATCTTAAAAGTCTAGGGACCTCACCATGCAGTTACTAGAGGGCCGGGCAACTGTCTAGGTACCCTTGGGTCAGGTAACAAAAGGCTTGTAGACAGTGAAAAATGTGCTTTGAAACTTTATTTTCATTGTTTTCATAGCAAGTCTACAAATTAGATTTTATTTAAAAAAATCATTCTACATTTGAAGAAAGTGGATTGTATGAAGGACAAGCGGTTTTTCTGAAGTTATCTGTAAGTAGGCTGATGAACTGAAGACAATGCTGGGCGAAGTGGGATAATTTGGTCACTCTACTAGTAAGTTCAGCTCTGGATCTTCAAATCCAAGGACAGGGTTCTTTCTTGTTTTTCACAGCTTCCCTGGTATATGCACTGTTTTAGTTGCTGTATTAATTGACTTTGTTTAGACTTCTATTATTTTGCACATAGACACTAGCTGCCCTACCAGTGAAGTCATATGGTTGATTTAGAGATACGCAGGAGAATGAAGAAAGAAAATACTAACAATATTGGCTTGTGCCTTTTGAAAAATTGCCTTTGAGAAGTTGCTCAGTTTATTGTTCAAAACATGTTTGGAGATCCCAAATCTTGAGATTCATCACTAGACCCAGTTTCTAGGGCCATTTAGGAGACCAAGTCTCATTATTTTGCAGTTATATTTTGTGACAAAATTACCTTTTAGTAATTTGCCCTTGTTTCACCTCTCTTGCTCTTCTAGTTTGGGCCAGAAAAGAATTTCTTGCTTCTCTTTTTCTGTTCTATTAATATTATCATTTCTGTACACAAACTTGTTTTAGCGATTATATCTATAACAATAGAAAACTTGGTTGATTGTAAGTGTAGATGGTGCTTAATGACCACCACCATGGTTTAATAAGTAAAAGAAGTAACCCATTGAATACTGAGGACACTGCATACTAGTATCATGTAGCATTTGACAGAACATTATTCAAATATAATGTAAAATTGACAAGAATTCAGAATTTGGTTAATAACAAGTAAGCATTGTTACAGTGTCATAAATGACACTTCAAGAAGGTTTTAGAAAAGACATTTCGCAGGATGAGGGGAGTAGAATCATAATCACAGAACATACATCCTGGCAATAGACTAGACATTGGTTATTTAATATTAAAAAAGCCAGTGTCTCATTAAATTAGTAGATACATTACAAAGGCCTATAAAAGAAAGCTCAGAAAATAAGGAGCGTCAAATACTTTTGCCCCTCAAGAACCTTTTATCTTTTATCACTATTTAGATTCACTTTTTTTTCTTTTTTTGAGACAGAGTTTCACTCTGTTGCCAGGTTGGAGTGTAGTGACGTGATCTCGGTTGACTGTAACCTCTGCCTCCTGTGTTCAAGAGATTCTCCTGCCTCAGCCTCCCGAGTAGCTGGGAATGCAGGCATGTGCCACCATACTCAGCTAATTTTTGTATTTTTAGTAGAGACGGGCTTTCACCATGTTGGCCAGGATGTAGACTTACAGTTTTATGAAGCACGTAAGGCAAATATGATTAAACAAATTGCAAAATTTTAAGGTTAGAAAATGGTCAAGTATTAGCAATTTCATATGTTTCAACCTAACGTGACTATTTTTATCTTGCTGAGGGAGAAATGGGATTCATAACTGATACAGAGTTATTGGAGATTGGATTTATTGGAGAAATCAGGAAAGAAGGCTGCAAGCCCTTCTAATCCCCAATACTGTTTTTTCTTTTTGAAGCTACAGTTCCAGTGACTATCATGGAGCAGAACCTTGATAAATGTGTGTGGTAGTTTAGAAAAAAATGGACACAAGTTTGTTGACACTGTCCCATCAAGAGGTGGAGTTTACGTTCTCACTCTTTGACTCTAGGCAGACTTGTAACTACTTTGACAAATGGAGTATGATGGGAGTGACACTGTGTGAGTGCTGAGTCTAAGTCATGAAAGACCATGAAGCGTTTTCCCGGTTCTCCTGGAATGTTCAGGCTTGTGACACTTGTGAATTCCAGCGGCCATGCTGTGAGAAGTTAAAGCCACATGGAGAGACCACATGTGAGTGCTTCAATTGTCAGCTCTGGTGGAGCTCAGTCTTTGGGTCATCTCAGCCCAGGTGCCAGACATGGAACTGAAGAGGCCTCCAGATGTGTCAGCCCCCAGCTGTTTGAATCTTCCCAGCTGAGATTTCAGACACTGTGGAACAGAGAAAAGCCATTCCTGCTATGTTCTGCTTTAAGTCTGACCCACAGCAACTGTGAGCTAATAAAATGATTGTTGTGTTAGTCCACTAAGCTTGTGGTGCGTCCGTCATTCGCTGCCACAGATAAGTGGAACAATGTGGACAGGATGTATACTTCTTGTCTAGGAGGCTGAGCATCATTCTAAGTTACAAAACCTTTGTAGGTCCCTGAAAGTCATTTGAGTTCCAGCCTGCTGCTCTCCCTACCCACTGAAGCTCATGCTATTACCTGTGCAGGACCACTAACCCTGGGTATCAAGGTGACACTGGCCCGAATTGTGTGATGATCTGAGAGACCTGAGGAAGGTTTCTACCTAGTGTGGGAATCTCCTCCCACAGACACTCAGGTTTGTCAAAAACACCTCTTGAAGAATGTGCTCTCAATTCTGGATGCTGCTGGAATACTGAAGAATTCTTCTCATGTGCATCTATTTTCATTTAAAAATCACTTTAAAAATATTATTTATGTGTTTATTAATTATTTAAAAATTTTTGAGAGAAGGTCTCATTCTTTCACTCAGGTGGGAGTGCAATGGCATGATTATGGCTCACTGCAGCCTCAACCTCCTGGGCTCCATCAGTCCTCCCACCTCAGCCTCCTGGGTAGCTGGAATGACAGGTATATGCCACCATGCCTGACTAAATTATTTGTATTTTTTGTAGAGATGGAGTTTTGCCATGTTGGTCAGGCTGGAAAAATATCTTTTAAAGGACTAATGCATATTCATTATATCATGAACTCAAAATACAGACATACTCAAAGAAGAATGCAAAAAACATCTATAATGCCATCCAATGACAAGTGCTGTTAACATCTTTCAAACTTCCTTTATTGAGTGTAAGTCATATAACTCATTTGTATATGATATAATGTGATGCATAATTTTTATAATAAAATTCATAAATATATAACATAATGGGATTATACTACCTATATTATTCTATAACTTCTTTAATGAAAATATTGTTGAAATTGTTTCATGCCTCTATATGAAGCCCTAATTAACTTGTACTGATTGCATAAGATTCATTGTCTGATTGTCTGTAGTTTATTGCTTCCCTTGTTGATGGATATTTATAGTTTTCTTACTTCTGTTGTAAAAATCATGCAGCATCACTATCCAATGGTAGTACCTCAGTGGTTCAGGCTGGCTGTTGGTTGCTGCAACTCCTTGTCTTTTGCACATCTCAGCCACATTTTCAATAGGAAATGTTTTCCCTTCTCTCACGCTCTTTCAGCACACACACATGCACACATGCATGCATGTGTGCACACACATGCACACATAAAGGAATTCAGTGGGAGAACACACACAAACACACAGGGAAATCCCACAGAAGTTGACCATGGGATTTTGAGATTAGAGACTCTCAAAAGGGAGCAGGCTGTTGCCCTCTCAGATTTTCTACAGGGTTGCAACGTCTGCTCCTCTGATGAAAGAAATATTTCAGAATGCTGTGAAAAGTAGGTTAGGCCAAACTTGAAAAGTTTTTCTTTCCCTCACTGTTGAATTCGTAAATATGCCCCCTATGCTTTTTTGTAAATGCAAAATGTCAGCATAAATGTGGAATAAAAATGGGCTGGTTAGCCTCTTGCTTTAGATTCTGTAAAATGGAGGAAATAAAATAGAAACTTAAAATGGTATGTTCAGGGATAAAACTTTTCCTTTTTTTTTTTTTTTTGTGCCTTCAAGCAAAAGGTAAAAAATAACTGCCTTGCTTTTTGTTAACTGGTTTTTAAAAAATCAAGTTGCTTTTTGTTAACAATTGTTCGAATCAGTAGCTTATAGGCTTTTTTCTGGCATTCTTTGCTGGAGTATTCTGCGAACCTTTCACAGGACAGTATCAATGTTGCTCAGAAGGACTTGGAATTTGGGATTTCTCTATGACGAGAGAAAAGAAAGCTGAAAAGGGTTCTCTCCTTTGCTATAGTTTGGAGTTCATCTGTTACCTTTCCAGCTCCCCAGGACTGGAATTAATGCTCGAGGCATTAACTTAGAACTGGGTGAGTGGCTCCTTTTTGATGAGAGGGTAAGTGTGGAGGAAGTTAGAGGTTGGGGAGTTAAGCTTAGCTTTGCTGTCAATCTAGTTAGTGAGAACCTCAGTTCCATCATTTACTTGCTGTGATACCTGGAGTGTTGTTGAACCTTAGTTTCCTGTTTTGTATGATGCCGGTGGCACAGGGTCAGCTTTGTGAGGAATGTAGGTGGTAAATGTAAAGTGAGTAGCACATAATAAACACTCACAAATGTTAGTTTGCGTTGCTAAGACCAACATTTTCTTTTCTTTTTTTTTTTTTTTTGAGACAGAGTCTTGTTCTGTCACCCAGGCTAGAGTGCAGTGGCCAGATCTCAGCTCACTGCAACCTCCGCCTCCCGGGTTCAAGCGATTCTCCTGCCTCAGCATTCCAAGTAACTGGGATTACAGGTGGCTGTCACTGTGCCCGGCTAATTGTTGTATTTTTAGTAGAGATGGGGTTTCACCATCTTGGCCAGCCTGGTCTCGAACTCCTGACCTCGTGATCCACCTGCCTCGGCCTCCCAAAGTGCTGGGATTACAGGTGTGAGCCACTGTGCCCGGCCAAGACCACCATTTTGAATGTCACATGTAATGAGCCAGGGAAAATGGTGTTCACTGGAACTCTCCTGAGACAGCGAAAGGTGTCTTTGAAGGAAAGGATTTTTATGAGTTTAGAATGGTACTATACTCTCCCTTTTCCTTTGCCCCAAGGAATTAGGGTATATTCTAAATCGATTTTGTTTGGGTGATGCAAGAGATTCTGTTGGTTGTTCAGAGATGTTGACAGATCAACCAGGAGATTGAGGGAGGATGTGAGCTGTCTGAGGTAACCCCTCTGCATGTGTCACCCCTGGTCTTCAGGAAGCCTCTCCAATTCATGAAATGTGCTTTTTTAGTGGTGTCTTTCTTTTGGAAACTGGTGAGGGGACTGAGGGTATTGTGGAATTAAAGATAACAAGGACCAAGCATAGTGGCTCACACCTGTAATCTGAGCACTTTGTGAGGCAAAATGGGAGGATTGTTTGAGGCCTGGATTTCAAGACCAGCCTGGGAAACATAGCAAGACTATGTTTCTTAAAAAAAAAAATTAGCTGAATGTAGATGTATGCATCTGTGGGTCTGTGGTCCTAGCTACTCAGGAAGCTGAGGCAGGAGGATTGCTTGAGCCCAGGAATTCAAGTTTATGATGAGCTGTGATCATACCACTGCATCCCAGCCTGGGCAACAGAGTGAGACCCTGCCTCTCAATAAAAACAAATAAAGAAGACAGAGATTCAGTGGCAAAATAAGCAGGAGGAAATGAACCTTTTAGCTTTGAGATGTAGAAAGACTGTTAACAGCAGCGGAATTGGGAGTCAGGAGAAGTTTAACTGAATCTCTGAGTGGCAAGAGTCAGCAGAGATTTAACTGAATATGGGTTAGATTTTCTCTTTTAAGGTTGTGCATACTTGTGATTAATGTTTCTGTTTACATCTTTTTTGGTTACAGGTGCAAAAGTGGCTTAGCCAAATCACTCAAAATCTTGGAGTCTGACTCTTTTGGCTCCCAGATAGATTAAATAATCCTTTGGCCTGCCAGTATTTTTATTACCTGTAAAATGTTTACTGGCTTTCCCCACAAATCCTGATGCCTTACTCAGAAGTAACATAGTTGGTAGCAAGGATGGGACAGGGTTTGATGAAATCTACAGTTAATGCAAGAAATATTCTTGTTTGCCCAGAATGTAATTTCTTTCCATTCTGACCCACGTTTCCTCTGGAGCTTGTGATTAGCTACATGTCTGCATTATTATGCACTTGACACTATACAGTCTTTGCTGTTCAAAGAGGCAGGCTGTAAGTCAAAAGCTAGAATTGGAATCCAAAGCTTGGGCATAGACTATTCAGGATCATAGCTGGAGAACAGATTTCAGGTGGAGCCAACCAGTAAGGGAAATAGTGTGATAAATATACACAGGTGGCCAAATTCTTTGTTTCCGCTTCAGCTTAACTACATGCAGCCGGTATTGCTTGATGATGGGAGTATGTTCAGAGAAATGCATCGTCAGGCAATTTTATCATTGTCTGTCTGAACATCACAGAGTATACTTACACAAACCTAGATGGTGTGACCTACTACACACCCAGGCTATATAGTAGAGCCTATTATTGCTCCTATACAAACCTGTAAAGCACGTTACTGTCCTGAATACTGTTGGCAAGCAATTAAAACACAGTGGTAAGTATTTGTGTATCTAAATGTATCTAAACATAGAAAAGGTGCAGTAAAAATGTGGCATCATAATCTTATGTGACCACTGTCATATATGTGGTCCATCTTTGACCAAAATGCTGTCATGTGATATATAACTATATATTCAACAACCTGTAAATTTTGTTGATATTAACAACTTTATTATGGTAATTATTAGAAAGAAAGAGGATTAGCTTTGTGCTAAGCCATTCATTAGATGTCCAAACACAGACTATGCCTGTAATAAATCAAAGTGTCCCTTAAAAGATTATAGAAGAATAGTTTTATTATAAATAACAATATAACTCATGCATTTGTAGTTACAGCTGGTAATAAGGATATAACTAATATTGGACACATGATGATAAACTATGGCTTGGTAATTTCAGAAAAAAGTGCCTGGAATAGTAATTGGAATGATCCCTTTCACCAAGATATTATGGGTCCTGCAAATGCTACTGAATGCCAAAGCTATTAGCCAGAGAAGATTATATTGAGAAAAAGAAAATGAATACGTTTGAATACCCATTAAGTTTCAGATACTTAAATATATATAGACTCCTTAAATACTCCTAATCTTGTGATATAAGTATTATTATTTTCACAGATGAAGACTTTGAGGGTAAGAGAGGTTAAGGATTTGTCTAATCTCAAATGGCAAGCGAATGCAAATGATGGATCTAAAATTCAACCCACATCTATTTACCTCCTAAATGTATTCTCTTTCCATTAGTCGGACCTCTGTAGGGTGAATGAATTTGATTCAGAGATGTTTTGCTTCAACACCAATATAAGGG